ATGAAATGCATCCCAGGATACTCAAGGAGCTGATAGAGGAGGTATCTGAGCCTTTAGCTATGATCTTTGAAAAATCATGGCAGACAGGGGAGATTCCAGAAGACTGGAAAAGGGCAAATATTGTGCCCATCTATAAAAAGGGGAATAAGAACAACCCAGGAAACTACAGACCGGTCAGTTTAACGTCTGTCCCAGGGAAGATAATGGAGCAGGTAATTAAGGAAATCATATGCAAACACTTGGAAGGTAATAAAGTGATAGGGAATAGCCAGCATGGGTTTGTGAAGAACAAGTCATGCCAAACTAATCTGATAGCTTTCTTTGATAAGATAACGAGCCTTGTGGATAAGGGAGAAGCGGTGGATGTCATATACCTAGACTTTAGTAAGGCATTTGATACGGTCTCGCATGATATTCTTATTGATAAACTAGGCAAATATAACTTAGATAGGGCCACGATAAGGTGGGTGCATAATTGGCTGGATAACCGTAGTCAGAGAGTTGTTGTTAACGGTTCTAAATCCTGCTGGAAAGGGATAACAAGTGGAGTTCCGCAAGGGTCTGTTTTGGGACCCGTACTGTTCAATATCTTCATCAATGATGTAGATATTGGGATAGAGAGTACGCTTATTAAGTTTGCAGATGATACCAAACTGGGTGGGGTTGCAACTTCTTTGGAGGATAGGGACATAATTCAAAATGACCTTAGCAAGTTAGAGAAATGGTCAGAGGTAAACAGGATGAGGTTTAATAAAGAGAAATGCAAAGTGCTCCACTTAGGAAGGAACAATCAGTTCCATACATACAAGATGGGAAGCGACTGTCTAGGAAGGAGCATGGCAGAAAGGGATCTAGGGGTCATAGTGGACCACAAGTTGAATATGAGTCAACAGTGTGATGCTGTTGCAAAAAAAGCAAATATGATTCTAGGTTGTATCAACAGGTGTGTTGTAAGCAAAACTCGTGAAGTCATTCTGCCGCTCTACTCTGCACTAGTTAGGCCTCAGCTGGAGTACTGTGTCCAGTTCTGGGCGCCACATTTCAAGAAAGATGTGGAGAAATTGGAAAGGGTACAGAGAAGAGCAACAAGAATGATTAAAGGTTTAGAGAACATGACCTATGAAGCCAGGCTTCATGAACTGGGCTTGTTTAGTTTGGAAAAAAGAAGATTAAGGGGGGACATGATAGCGGTTTTCAAATATCTAAAAGGGTGTCACAAGGAGGAAGGAGAAAATTTGTTCCTCTTGGTTTCTGAGGACAGGACAAGGAGTAATGGGCTTAAAGTGCAGCAGGGGAGGTTTAGATTGGACATTAGGAAAAAATTCCTAACTGTCAGGGTGGTCAAATATTGGAATAAATTGCCAAGGGAGGTGGTGGAATCTCCCTCTCTGGAGATATTTAAGAACAGGTTAGATAGACATCTGTCAGGGATGGTGTAGACAGACAGGAAGTAAGCCTGAAAAGGGGGGACATCTGCTTAATTTTTCAATTTGAAACCATTTCTTTTTCTTTCTTTCTTTCTTTCTTTCTTTCTATTTTCCATTTTCCATTTTCCATTTTCCATTTTCCATTTTCCATTTTCCATTTTCCATTTCTCTCAATCTGGACAATAAAAATTTGGCATTTTGTTTGTAGCAAATTTCACTTTGCCTTACACCTGCAATGAATAGCACCATGCTGTCATGTCTCCAAATACTGTTTTGCGCTCTTCAAATTGTTCCCTGGCAGCATTTCCAATTAATTGAAACATTACAAACACATAGTCGTTATAAAAAAATAAATGTATACACAGGCACCCACACAATACACACTATATAATAACATTAGGGTTTATTTTTTAAATTCTAAATGCTGTGGGTAATTTGACCTTATCAATGCCAGCGACTTCATGCACTATTGAAATGTAATTCCCTAGAAGCAATCTTTCTGCTTATCTAGCAATACTTTCTGACCATGTATTAAACTGAATAGCATACATGCTTTTCATCTTGCTAATCTCTCCAGGAAGGTTCTTGTTGCTTCTCCTCCTGGCAGTTTTAAATCAGGAAGCCAACTTCAAATGCTCATGGATCGAGTAACATAGAGTTTAAATACTGAAAAAATGAGAAAATGTATGGTTTTCCCTTTGGACACGGTCATGCGGAGATGAAATGGCAGCATTAAAACACATTTAACACTTGCTTAAGGCTACCGGCTATTCTGTCTTGGCATATATATTTTGTCAAATAGGGGCTGCTGCCAATCTATAATTATAAAATGTTAAATAGCACATTACCATTTGCTATAATTCATGGTGTCAACAAACAAACAAACAAACAAACAAACAAACAAACAAACAAAACCATGATGAGAAGAGGTGTGGAGGAAGATCTCTCAGGAGCAGAAGTTTAGGTCATGCCAATTATGCAGCAAACAAGGGGCCCCTGACATAAGGCCTGACCCAAATAGCTTGGGGGTGATGTGCCAAAAAGAAGAGAGAAAATGTCCAAACTTTCCTCTTTATGTAGATCATCTCATCTGAAGAAGTGGGTTATGCCCAGAAAGATCTTGATACTATGGCTGTGTCTAGACTGGCAAGTTTTTCTGCAAAATCATCTGCTTTTGCGGAAAAACTTGCCAGCTGTCTACACTGGCCACTACTATTTTGGGATACTGAGGGTATCCTGCAATAGCTATACCGGAGGTATCCCAAAACAGCTCGCTATTCCAACGTCCCTGTAAACCTTATTCCACGAAGAGCAAGGAACGTTATGGAATAGCGATTTATTTTGAAATAAGTGCTGTGTAGACAGCACCAAATTTTGAAATAATCTACGCAATTTGCATAGCTCAAATTGCATAGCTTATTTCAAGCTCCAGGTGCAGTGTAGATGTACCCTTTGAAACATATGGGCTACGTCTACACTGGAATGATTTTCCAAAAATGCTTTTAACGGAAAAGTTTTCCGTTAAAAGCATTTTTGGAAAATCATTCCAGTGTAGACGTAGCCCATATGTTTCAAAGGGTACATCTACACTGCACCTGGAGCTTGAAATAAGCTATGCAATTTGAGCTATGCAAATTGCGTAGATTATTTCAAAATTTGGTGCTGTCTACACAGCACTTATTTCAAAATAAATCGCTATTCCATAACGTTCCTTGCTCTTCGTGGAATAAGGTTTACAGGGACGTTGGAATAGTGAGCTGTTTTGGGACACCTCCGGTATAGCTATTGCAGGATACCCTCAGTATCCCAAAATAGTACTGCAGTGTAGATGTAGCCTATTTCAGAATAACTGACATTATTTTGTGTCTACATAGCAAGCAAAATATGTCTACATAGCAAGCCATTATTTTGAAATAATGTCAAGATGGAGGACTTCTTACTCTGACTTCTGTAGCCCTAATTTCACAGGGGCTATGTCTACACTGTAGGCTTCTTGCGCAAGAAGCCTTTTGTGCAAGACTTTTTGTGCAAAAACTTCTTGTGCAAGAGCACGCCCACACCTCAAACCACATCACAAAAGCAATGTGCTTTTGCGCAAGACAGCATCCACACTGCATAGATGCTCTTACACAAGAAAGCTCTGATGGCCATTCGCAGAATGGCCATCAGAGCACCTATGCTTTTTCCCTGTGGAGCATCCATACTTGCCTTTTTGCACAAAAATTCTTGCTAAAAATGGAGTTATGCCTCATAAAAGGTTTATCTATGCTGGAAAAAGCCCTCTGTTCTGCCATTTTACTGCTGATTTACTTGCGCAAAAGCACATTTGAGGTGTGGATGCTCTGCAGGTTTTTGCGCAAAAATGGCCATGCTTGTGCAAAAATCTTGCAGTGTGGACATAGCCAGGGAGTAAGGGAAGTCAGAGGAAGAGTGTTCTTCCTTTGACTTCCTGCTGTGTAGACAGTGCCAAAGGCGGAAGTAAGCTATTTCAAATTGAAGTAGCTGAAGTTGTGTAGCTTAATTCAACTTTTGCCCTGCTGTGTAGACAGGTTTTCACAGGACTCTTTTTTTTAAAAGTTGCAGACTAACAGGGCTACCCCTCTGAGACTTTCCCCTATACCCGGGAGGTTGTCGACTATGGCACCTTGACCTTTGCTGATCAATGGGCACCCCGACCCCTTTTTATTTGGCAGGGGAGACTGGCTCGAGGCCACGAGTCGTGCAGAGAGACAGCTGGACACACAAAGCAAGCGGAGACAGACCCACCCAGCCCTCAGCAGCCGGACCCAGCCTGGCTCAGAGAAGCGTTGCAGATTATCACCCAAGGAACCACACACAGACACCCAGGCGCTCCGGAGGCTCAGATAACAACCCCCAGACAGGCAAAGCTTCTCGCCGGTCAGTCTCACTCTCCTCCCACCCAGCAGGGCAGGCAGCCCCCCCTCCGTGGTGGGCCTCCTCCTTGCTGCTCCTTCTCTGCAGCAGCCAAACTTC